CACAGACAAGAGGACCTAAATTCTACCCTCAGCGTCAGCATAAGAAACCAGACATGGTAGCTCAAACTTGCAATTGCAGAGCCAGGATGATAGAAGATACCTTGAACTTGCTGACCAATCTAGCCAAATCAGTCAGTTCCAAGTTCAGTGAGTGAGTCCTTGTCTCAAAATTATGGTGGTGAGCAATTGAGGAGGACACCCACTTGTCCTCTATATTGTCTGGCCTCTATACTCATTCATACTCATGTACACACTCTCCACATGAACACATACATATGACACACAAGTAATAATATACATAATATGTTGAAATAGGAGCGGCGGCAGGGCTGCGTCTCCGGTACCCGGCCGCCTGCATGGCTAGCTTATGCCCGAAATAATTACACGGAAACTGTATTCTTTCAAACACTGTCTGGCCCGGCTAGGTCCAGTTTCTTATTGGCTAGCTCTTACATATTGTTTTAACCCATTTCTAATATTCTGTGTAGCCCATGAGCTGGCTTACCAGGGAGGATCTTAACCTGCGTCTGTCTGGATTGGGAGCATCATGGCGACTCCTCCTAAGCTTCTTTCTCCCAGAATTCTCTTCTGTCTACTCCGCCTACCTAATTTTCTGTCCTATGAGGGCCGAGGCAGTTTCTTTATTATTAACCAATGAAATCAACAGATAAGATACAAGACCCACCTCCATCAATAATATAACAAATATAGTTAGTGCAAAAGTTAAGTAGTTTTTATATAAAATCAAAGAAATATCAAATATTGACCTTTTATTACAACATGGATCCTGTTTCTATCAGGGCATAGAGAAGTCATACTCATTTTTGTCATTACAAAATATTGCATGAGTGGGTCTGAAAGGAGCGTTGGGGAAGGTAGAAGAAATGGAATACTTTGATGAACGGATTGACAGGAACAGTGATGAGAGCTCTATTAGGTTACTCCCAGTTTTTCACATTAGTGTAGCAATATGTTGGAGTGAAATTACATGGGACCTAGAAGAGGGGCTGTGATAGGTCAAGTGGCTGGGCATTTGACTTGGGATGCTGGACAGTGGGGTCTTTGTTTGGTGTGGAAGAAACAACTTGTTTAATATTTGTGTTGATTTTAATTGGTGGAAACAAATGGTTTTGCTTTTACTACTAGCTCAGTGTCTCCAGGTGCCAACTGGATCTTGGGATACAAAGTAGCAGTACTAACCCATAATAGAAGCTTTAGAGCTGCCCTATCCTCTGATAACCCTACAGTTCTAAAATCACAAGATAATTTTAACATGCCTGCAGCCTAAGACTACACATCTCTGGGCTTTCAGAAGAAAAACATGTTCATGAGCAAATAGAAGTAAAGACAGTAAGAGTCTGTTGTTTTGAATATATGAATAGTCAATAGGACATTTGTCTAGAAGCTAAGTTTTCATAACTATTTTTATAAGCAGAAAGTTCCATAATTATATGGAGTAATTTTCCAAAGATTATATGGTTGTGTTTTATGGTATTAATTCATAATTGACATCAAGCTTTAAAAAAAAGGCAAGCTTTAAAAAAAAAAACAAAAATCCCTGAATAGGTGAAACAAAATAATTTCAGCTAGCTGTGACCTTTAGGAAAATGGAAATGTTCAGCTTGCTGGTCCTAGATCAGGCAGGGAAATGGAGAAAGAGTTGATAAGTTTTGCTCACTCAGGGCTAAAGAGCAGAATGTGGAACCTTCATTTGTTTTAAGGTGAATTCAACCACACCGTCCTCATTTCAAGGCATTCTTAAAGCAGAGGAACTTACTTCTCTTTTTATGCTGGCTAAAATTCTCCCTCCCTCTCCCCCACCCTCTCTCTCTCTATTGTCTCTTTGTCTCTGTCTCTATCTATCTCTTTCTCCACTTTTATCCCCCCTTCTCTCTTTTTGTGTGGGAAGTTCTTCTGTATATGCATTGCTTTTACTGGTTAATGAATAAAGTAGCTGCTCTCGGCCAATGGCTTAACAGAACATAGACAGGCTGGAATAT